TCACTACTGCGGGCCACAAACGCATTGAACGAGTTATATAAGTGTGATTTTGGCCCGCAGTAGCGAACTCCATACATTTTAGTTTTGGCGGACGGTTCTTTCTTTCTTTGTTTCTGGCGTCTCTCTCTCTCTCCATCCTTTCTTTCCTGCGTCTCTATCTCTCTCGCTCCCTCATTTCGACGGATGTGTTTGGAAAGAATGGTCTGCTTTGTATTTGTTAAGTTGTGTTGTTCAGTATTATATCGAGTCATGTACGGGGGAAACACAGATGTACAGTAATAAATAACAATGTACGATGGCACGTACATATAAACCAATCTTCGGTAGGCGCCCGCTGACAACAACTATGGAAGTAGTGAGGCTCTGTCTCTTCCCCTCCCTCTCTCTCTCTATGGGGCACTCTCTCTCTCTCTGTATTTCTCTGTATGTACATATATTTCCAGATGTTAAGATTGGCCAAAACTGGACAGAAGAGAAAGTCAGGCGAAGAGTGTGATGCAACGGTGGATCACTTTCTACTACTGGGGGCCAAAGAAGAGAAGACGACTGAGATGGACCGGATCTGGGGTCAGATAGTAGAGAAGCAGCGAGAACATATAGACAGGCTAACAGACGAGGTACATAAGCAGAAACAATTGGTGAGACAGATGTCAGACGAACTAGGCCGTATTAAGTCACTGCTCGTAGAAATGACAGAAACTGCGGAACACAAGATGTTCACCGTATTCTGGTTGTTACTATCCGATCCAAAGTGTTTAGAAATAACTCGTCTGAGGGAGGACATGACTGCCAGACTGAAGGCAATAGCTGAAACGAAGACCACCATGTTTGACGAGTTCTAGACATTTTTGGATGGTAAAAGGCGCAGGCGCACCGCGGTCTTCAATCGGTTCGTCGCCCACGTCACAAAGAGAACTCACAGGGAATCACAAGGACTTGATGTCGCATCTTATGCCAGTCCTGAGAAGTGTGTGCTGAAGGAGGGGTGGGCGTCGTATGATAGCCAATAATATAATACGGGTTCGCTAACTGCTTCGTCACGCAGTGTCGTCGACCTCTTGGCCTTCGCAGCAGACTGTATTCGCCACTGTAAGGAAACCGTAGACGAGTACGGTCTCTGTGATGAGGCTGTCGCGACTGCTAAGGATGACCTTCCTCGCAATATGACGTCTCTGATGAACAGTTGCTCGGACGTCATGGATGCCCTTCAACACACACGAGGTAGGTTGTTGGCTGGAGAAATGACGGTGACTTGTGTGAACGAAGTTGTCATGGTAAGTGCAGAAGGCGAAAGGACGAAGGCAGGTGAAGAACTCGACACAACAATGCAAACCTCCAGAGGAATTGGGATCACTGTCGGGGACTGCGCGCCTGCGCCGCATGCCCTGCTGGCGTGCACCGATGTTGCCGCACTGAATTGTCACCACGTTCGTCACAACTTCCCATATGTCGTCACTAGCAAAGCACCTTCTGCTGATGCAGAATCTGTTGCGCTGCCTATGGCGACGGACACACTTCAAAAGTTCGTTGCAAAAGCGAATTCGCGACAAATGGCGAGGCTGGTTGCGGACTGTCTGTCCCATCTCATATCGTACATCAAAGAGATAATGGTACAGGTCGTAACGAACGCAGACCAGCATGGAGGGAATAACGAATGTCAGCATTGCAGGAAAGGACTTCACATCAACGACCGCTTAAAAACTCTCTACACAAGATGTCAAATCGTGGGTGCGCGGGTGGTCAAGGACGCTTGATCTCTCTCTCTCTCTCTCTCTTTCTCTCTCTCTCTCTCTCTCTCTCTCTTTCTCTCTCTCTCTCTCACACACACACACACACACACACACACACACACACACACACACCAACACACTATTATGTATGTTTATTGCTGCCTATATTACAACTTCTTCATCCACATTTTTCTGTTTATAATGTTTGTTGCCTTTTCCCGTATTGACATACTTGTGGCTTACTACTGCGTGCCATATCAGTGTCCACCACTGCTGTTTGTTGTCGTTCTGGCCCGCAGTAGTGAACCGCTCTCTATCGCGCATGAGATGTTTGTTGGAGTTCTGACCCGCAGTAGTGAACCTCTCGCTGTCGCTGCATCTTTGCGTTTCCAACTACTTGTCGTTCACTACTTTGTGCCATATCAGTGTCAACCGGTGTTGTTTGTTGTCGTTCAAGCCCGCAGTAGTGAACCGCTTTCTGTCGCTGCATCTTTGCCTGTCCAAAAGCACGAGGTTCACTACTGCGGGCCAATGTCTGTCGCGCATGAGATGTTTGTTGGAGTTCTAGCCCGCAGTAGTGAACCTCTCGTTGTCGCTGCATCTTTGCGTTTCCAACTACTTGTCGTTCACTACTGCGTGCCATATCAGTGTCAACCGGTGCTGTTTGTTGTTGTTCTGGCCCGCAGTAGTGAACCGCTCTCTGTCGCTGCATCTTTGGCTGTCCAACAGCACGAGGTTCACTACTGCGGGCGAATGTCTGTCGCGCATGAGATGTTCGTTGGAGTTCTGGCCCGCAGTAGTGAACCTCTCGCTGTCGCTGCATTTTTGCGTTTCCAACTACTTGTGGTTCACTACTGCGTGGCATATCAGTGTCAACCGGTGCTGTTTGTTGTCGTTCTGGCCCGCAGTAGTGAACCGCTCTCTGTCGATGCATCTTTGCCTGTCCAACATCACGAGGTTTACTACTGCGGGCCAATGTCTGTCTCGCATGAGATGTTTATTGGAGTTCTGACCCGCAGTAGTAAACCTCTCGCTGTCGCTGCATCTTTGCATTTCCAAGTACTTGTGGTTCACTACTGCGTGCCATATCAGTGTCAACCGGTGCTGTTTGTTGTCGTTCTGGCCCGCAGTAGTGAACCGCTCTCTGTCGCTGCGTCTTTCCCTGTCCAATAGCATGAGGTTCACTAGTGCGGGCCAATGTCTGTCTCGCATGATATGTTTGTTGGAGTTCTGGCCCGCAGTAGTGAACCTCTCGCTGGTGCTGCATCTTTGCATTTCCAAGTACTTGTGGTTCACTACTGCGTGCCATATCACTGTCAACAGGTGCTGTTTGTTGTCGTTCTGGCCCGCAGTAGTGAACCGCTCTCTGTCGCTGCGTCTTTCCCTGTCCAACAGCATGAGGTTCACTAGTGCGGGCCAATGTCTGTCTCGCATGAGATGTTTGTGGAAGTTCTGGCCCGCAGTAGTGAACCTCTCGCTGGTGCTGGATCTTTGCGTTTCCAACTACTTGTGGTTCACTACTGCGTGCCATATCAGTGTCAATCGGTGCTGTTTGTTATCGTTCTGGCCCGCAGTAGTGAACCGCTCTCTGTCGCTGCGTCTTTCCGTGTCCAACAGCATGAGGTTCACTACTGCGGGCCAATGTCTGTCTCGCATGAGATGTTTGTTGGAGTTCTGACCCGCGGTAGTGAACCTCTCTCTCTCTCTCTCTCTCTCACGCACACACACACACAATGATGTGTGTTTAAGTGCTGCCTGTATTATTACTTTCTGCTTAGAGTAAATTTATGTCCATAATGTTTGCCGCTTTTTGCCTCACGACACACAAGTGGTTCACTGCTGCGTGCCATATCAGTGTCCACCGGTGCTGTTTGTTGTCCTTCTGGCCCGCATTAGTGAACCTACCTCTGTTGCTGCTCTCTCTCTCTCTCTCTCTCTCTCTCTCTCTCTCTCTCTCTCTCTCTCTGGTGAGGAGGCCATGTCGCAGCTACGTGTTCTTATAAATGTATGTGGTGTCTCATGCAATAGATGGAACCTGCGATTGCATCGACTGTCAACGGTGGAGAGACATGCGCCATGGAGACGGAGGACATTCTAAAGGGTTTTGCAGATGGCAGCAAGGAAGGGAATTCGGCTGGAGGGAACACCGCAGACTGTGCAGAGGTGCTTGCGACAATATATGCACAGACTGCAGAGATGATAGGTGATGGTGATGAAACAGAGAATGACGCACAAGGGAGCACTTGTAAGACGGAAAAGGTTGGGGAAGAGAGAGAGGAGGGAGGTTTGGGAAGCAGGGAATCTCTGACAGGGTGTATTGTGAAAGATGAAAATGTGGTGAAGACATCAGCAGGAGAAGAGTACCCATGTGACATCAATTGGGTGCCGGCTCGTGTTCAACCGGGTATTGTTGGAGGAACACCATGCTTTTCGTTCAAAGTCGATGGGACATGGGTTCCATTTCCTGCCCCCAAAATGAATACATGGCGAAACGTAACTCTGTGAATCATGTTTGACAGAGTATTAAGGTTGAACGATGCGGCAACACCACAGGAGAAAGGGCGATATGCATTGAAAATGTGGCGTGTTCTGGAAGCGCAGGGCGAGTTCAGGCTGAACGATTTTTTGTACGACAGTTTTGATTGCGGACAGTCATGGGTGATTGGTGGGAACGACGCAACAGGGAGTACGGCGTGCCACGAGAGCGATGCGAGGAGGGATCCTAGGTGGGGTTGGGTGCCATGTGCGATCCCGATTCCATGTGGCCGTGTGAGGATGATGATGCGTGATGCCATGGGAAATGTCTGGAGCACGCATTATGTGAATGGCAACTTCTCCTTCAGGAACCTCGACAGGGAGGTCTCAGAAGACGAGAAGAAGGCAATGGCATGTCCTACCCATACTGATGGCTGCTTTTTCCCGCCGCTTCGGAACCCTGTGGAGTTGGAGGTGGTTGAAGGGAAACTGTTCATTGGTGAGGATGGTAGCGCATACATGCATGCAAGAGGGCAGGAAGCCAAGTATGATGGACTATGCTCGCAAATATGGGACCATGTCACAATGAGGAGTAACGTTCTGTCTGCCATGGACATTGGGGCCCATGTCGTTCCTGAAGGACAGTTGCAGCAACATATTGCCCCTGAAAAGTATAGCTATCGTGTCAATTGGGTCCCAGGATGTTTGCATCCTGCAGTGGTTGATGGCAAGGTGACGATGGCAGCAGGACTGCAATCAGGGCATTGGCTCTAATTGGGATGGATGCATGCAAGCATTGTGGAGCATTGTCAGTTCCTCGTGGTTCTGGCACGTGTCTCAATTTTCAATGTAAATGTAAAGGACCACGTGCTGGTGGTTGAACACGCAAAGCGCTGCTGGGAGAAGATAAGGGAGGAGGAGCGTCAGATGGTGTGCGCGGGTTATGACTCCATGGCTGACCAGGGGATGTGGTCCATGGTTGAGGGGAGTTGTACGGGCCAAGAGCAGGGCGACGGTCAGAACAGATACATGGCTCACATTCGCCGCAGGCACGGTTGCACGACCGTTCTCGGTTGGGTCCCGGTCGTATGTCCCATGACATATGAGCATGGTGGAGATGTCACCATGAGATTCAGAGACCCGCTTGGTGTGCCTTTCCATCTGACCTACTTAGATGGACTCCTGCGAGACATTCGGTACCTGGCGGAAAATGACTTGGCAGGTTCAGCGCAGGTAGGCAAGAGGACAGAGAAGCGCTCAGAAATTTCCCGTTTGTCTGCTGAGGTGGAGGGCCCATGTGGTCCTGGTCGCGTCGGGGGGTGCTCTGCAGCACAGGGTGACATGGGCGGCCCGAGCGATGTCGCGATGTCGCAGAGCCCGGGGAAGATGAAGAAGTGCACGTCGGGACCGCCACGTGGGTAGACGCCCGCAGGCAGAAAGAAGGTGAACCCCAAGGCGGTGCCAGCGACCGGAGACACCGCAGGTGCATGAACTCAGGTCGTCGCGCCCCGGGATGGCAACTTTGGCGGAAATCAGAAAGTTGCAACGATCCACCGACCTTTGCTTGGCTTTCAGGCCATTCTTGCGGCTCGTGCGCGAGGTTGTGGACGAGGACATTGCTCTGTTTATGGGCGTGAGGTTTCAGATGACGGCGGTGAGTGCTTTGATGGAGGCTGTCGAGGCGTACCTGGTCGCCAATTTCGAGAACACCAACAAGGTGGCCATCCATTCGAAGAGGGTGACGATCCAGGTCAGGGACATGAGACTGGTGGATTGGTTGTCGAAGCCTCGCTGGGGTGAGAAATATCAAGGTATGTTGGACGAGAAGGCGAGAGGTGAGGAGAGACAACAGCGGATGGAGGCCAGACAGGCAGAAAGGGATGGCAGCAGAGCAGGGGCGAAGAAGAGGAAAGTAGTGCTACGTAAGGGGGGGCGCGGGAAAAAAAGGCAGCTTGAGAATTCTACTGTGTGTGCTGCATAACGGTTGTCCTGTCGAATCGTGGACTCCGTGGAAGTCTTCATGGTGTTAGGTGGGTTGATTAGGTGGAGAGAGAGAGAGAGAGAGAGAGAG